GGAAGAGAATCCCCATCACTTCTGGCTATAAAACCAGCAGGAACTGAGGCTCAGGGAAGCTGATGCAGCTGGAGCCCCAGGCAGCTCCTTAAAGGGCCCGCGCATGGACTTAACTCTGACTCTCTCCCTCTAAGCTTGGAGGGGAAGCAGCTCGAGGTGGCGCCAGAGACATTCAGGGAAGCACTGAGCTGTTTGGCATTGGAGCGAGGGCTGGAGAAAGGACTTTCCCCAGGACAAACATGCTGTCAGAGGCCTTTGTTCCTTTGGTGAGCCCTTCCCTGGGGCGGCAGATAGCCACCACATCTGGGACTCCAGCAACCTGGCTCACACTGGTAGCCCCACCCTGGTGACTCCCTGAGGCCCCGCCCCACCCAACTTTCAGGCCCACCCAAGCTGTTGCCAGTTGCTTTAACATAGGATTGGCCTGTCTTGGATCCTGCTTCAGGTTTTTCCTAAATTTTTTCAAACAAGCAGCATCTGATCTCAGCAAGCCCCATACCTCTCATTAAGTAATACACAGAAACAAACACAGGGAGGCAGCCAAAATGAGGAGACAAAGAAACAGGTCCCAAATGAAAGAACAGAACAAAACCCCAAGAAAAGAACTAAGCGAAATGGAGATAAGCAACCTAACACATGCTGAGTTCAAAATACTGCTTATAATACTCAATGAACTTAGTGAGAACCTCAGTGAACTTAGTGAGGGCCTCAAGAGCATAAAAAAGGACCAGTCAGAAATGATGGATGCACAGTCAGAAATGAAGGAGGCATTAACTGAAATAAAGAATGATTTACACAGATTCAATAGTAGAGTATACGTAAACCCAAGAAGCAAACAAAGGAACCAAAATACACCCAATAAGAACAGCAAAAAGAAAAAAGAATCCAAAAATATGGGGATAGTGTAAGGAGCCTCTGGGACAACTGCAAGCGTGCCAACATTCGCATCTTGGGGTGCCAGAAGGAGAAGAGAGAGAACAAGAAATTGAAAACCCGTTTGAAACAATAATGGCAGAAAACTTTCCTAACTTGGAGAAGGAAACAGACATACAAGTCCAGGAAGCACACAGAGTCCCAAACAAGATGAACCCCAAGAGGCCCACACCAAGACACATCATCATCAAAATGCAAAAGGTTCAAGACAAAGACAGAATCTTAAAAGCAGCAAGAGAAAAGCAGTTAGTTACCTACAAGGGAGTTCCCATAAGGCTGTCAGCTGATTTCTCAAAAGAAACTTTGCAGGCCAGAAGGGAGTGGCAAGAAATATTCAGAGTGATGAAAAGCAAGAACCTACAACCAAGATTACGCTTTCCTGCAAAGCTGTCATTTAGAATCGATGGCCATAGAAAGACTTTCCCAGACAAGAAAAAGTTAAAGGAGTTCATCACCACCAAACCGTTATTATATGAAATGATGAAGGGTCTTTTTGAAGAAAAAGATAAAATATATGAATAAACAAAATGGCAATGTATAAATAGCTATCAACAATGGAATCTACAAACAAAATGAATCGGCAGAACAGAAACATTCTCATAGATACAGAGAACATTTTGTTGGTTGCCAGATGGGAGGGGTGTAGGGGGAATGGGTGAAAAAGGTGAAGGGATTAAGAAGTACAAATTCATTGCTAGACTGACAAACCTCAAAGGGAAAGGGGTTGGTGGGTGGGAAGAAATAAACCAAAGAACTTATATGCATAACCAATGGACACAGACAATAGTGTGGGAAACGGCGGGAGGGGGGCTGGAGTGGGGAGGAGGGGGTCAATGGGGGAAAAATGAGGAACATCTGTAATACATTCTACATTCAACAATACAGATTTAAAAAAATAGCCCTGGCCGGTTTGGCTCAGCGGTTAGAGCGAGACCCGGGTTCGGTTCCGGCTAAGGGCATGTGCCTCGGTTGCAGTTTGTCCCTGGCCCTGGTCGGTCGTGTGGATGGCAGCCACTCGATGTGTCCCTTTCATATCGATGTTTCTCTCTCTCTCTCTGTTCCTCTCTATCCCTCCCACTCTACCTGAACAAAAAAATAGAGAAATGTCCTCAGGTGAGGATAAAAAAAAATAATAATAATAATAATAATACATGCATCTCTATGTTTACTCCAGCATTATTTACAATAGCCAAGATATAGAAGCTGTGGTACATATATACAATGGAATATTACATGGCCATAAGAAATATTACATGGCCATAAGAAAGAATAAAATCTTACCATTTGCAACAGCATGGATGGACCTAGAGTGTATTATGCTAAGTGACATAAGTTAGTCAGAGAAAGACAAATACCATATGATATCATTTATATGTGTAATCTAATGAATAAAATAAATGAACAAACAAAATTGAAACAGACTCACAGATACGGAGAACAAACTGATGGCTGCTAGAGGAGTAAGAAGGGTTGGGGGACTGAGTGAAAGAGGTAAAGGAATTAAGAAGTACAAATTGGTAGTTACAAAATAGTCACGGGATATAAAATGTAACATAGGGAATGTAGTCAATAATATTATAATAACTATGCATGTTGCCATGTGGATATTAAAAATATTGGGGGAAACACTTTGTAATATGATTATCTAACCACCATGTTACTAACTTAAAACTAATACAAAATAATAGTGAATTTAAACTGTAATTGAAAAAATAAAACTAAAAACAAAAACAAACAAAAAAATGGAAAACTGGCTCCACTGGACAAAAACTTACCTTCCGAACCAATCCTAATACCACATTTCAGACCCTTAGAAACATACAACAACCATTTTTAGTGCTATACCAGCTGCTGCCAAAACTGCTATGGAGCCTTCAAAAGCTCCTGTGTCAGTTGCTTCCACTACCTGTTGCTTCATCTTGACACCAGGACTCCCAGAACTGTCACAATGCAACAAGGTGTTCAAACTATTCCCCACACTAAGGTGGGACAGGATGGTTTTTCTTCCCAATAGCTATCAAATTTCCAATTCCATGCATATAGCTGGTTAATGCTACGTACTTAAACCTTAATCCAATCACAACGATCAATAAGTATGTATTGAATACTCATGTTAACAAATCTGCAGCGGGGTTTATATGAAAAAGAATCTCCCTTCCCGGCCTAAAATATTGGGACATCTTCTTTTCTCTATGCCAAACAAGTATTAAAGCTTCCTCATATACATTCTAAGAAATTCTTGCCATTTGGTGTCCAAATTCAATACTATAATTAATAGGGAACTAGCAGCCTTAACTTGGTATAGAATAAAGAAAAAGTATTTAAAAATCTATTTGTGCTAAGAATTATAAGAAAAGACTATTAATTTAAATGAATTTTAAATGAAGACTTAAATAAAATTGATAGAATATAGGAAAAATATTTTAGAGTAGTGTCTCATCCCCTACAAACCGAGAAAAAATGAAAACGCTGAAAATACTACATCCATAAACCATCTGACCACCAGCACCCCAGTCGGCATTTCAAGTAATGCTAGCCACACTTCTCCTAAGAGCTCAGAAAAATAAAAAGGGTGCAGATTGACAACACAAACTAAGAATATGGAGACCTCTTTTTATTTATATGGCACCTTTTCACTTTCCATTGTCCATGTACTTCAAAAGCTATATGATAAATGTGTTTTTGCAAAATTCTTTATATACTAATAGAAAGTATGGTATCCCATCAACTATAATGATGTAACTTCAAACAAGACTTATTACTTCTTAATTTAACAGGGATTTTTAGAGTCTTAGAGATTTACTATAATATAGGAATGCTACGAGAACAAATGAGCAAATGTTTCTAAAGCACATTGTAAAGGCAAGGAAGCAAGCAGAAATCATCCCTGACCCCTCCTTGTCCCTCCATACAAAGGCATCAAGCCCAGTGGATTAATAAACTAACAACATATCTCTATCCCCACTACCCCATCCTAGACGAAGTCACCACCACTTTTTCCCTAGGCCAGGGATGGGCAAATTACAGAGATTCTTGCCAAATCTGGCCTGTCACCTGATTTTGTAACTGAAGTTTTACTGGAACACAGTCATGTCAATTCATTTACATATTTTGTTTGGCTGTTTTCATGCTACGATGACAGAGTTGGGGAGATGTGACTATCTGGCCCACAAAGTCCGAAACATTTATTATCTGACTCTTTAAAGAAAAAGTTTGCCAAAGCTGGCCTTAATAGGCTATTAAATAATCCTAACTAGTCTCCCTACCACCCATTCAATTCATTCTCAAAACTGCAGCCTGAATGCAATTGTTAAGAACAGCAATTTGGTCATTCTTCTGCAAAGATAAACCGAAACTCCTTAAGGTAACTCCTCTAACTCTTCCAACTCCCTATCTTGTCACTACCCAATTCAGCCTTTATGTTCCAGTTAATTCTATTTAATCTCTTCAAAGTCACCTCGCTCTACCCTTTGGTCTTTCAGGATGTACTATGTCCCCAAACTGGAACACCTTACCTTTCTCCAGCCTAACTTCAGGTCACTGCTCAGGTTCACCATGTAAATGTTACTTTCTTCAAGAAGCCATTGCTGATCTCTTGGACTGGAATTAGGTGTCCTGAACTTCCTCCATAACTGACCTTATTAAACTCTAATGCATAGTTCATTGTCAGACCAAATCAAGAGCCACAACAAGGGCAGAGATAGGGTTTGTAATGTTAACTATGATACCCTTGCAGCAATTAGTACATATGAGGCATTCATACATTTCTGTTCAAATAAATGTATCCTTTGCATCGTATTTTGAGAATCCAAAGAACTTTCTCAATGATTCACCAGAAATAATCAGGTAGATTTAACCAATGAAGATAATGAGTCATGCATAACCATGACCAAATTGATACCAAAATCTGAAAACCTAGGAACCTACAAAAAGACAATTTCTAAACATACCCTGGGCTTTTTAGTATATCACCAGAGAAAACCTTGATCTTTGGAACTTATCATTCTAGATCATATTTAATGAAAACAACAACAATAAGGAGACAAAAATGGGTGTCCTCCCATTACCTGCTCTTCCCGCTCCTTTTCTTTGGTCTTACTTCTGTAGACTCTCGCAGAGGTGGCATCCTGGGATGGAATGGCAGAGATCTGATGCAATGGCATGCTCATCCCAGCCTCCTGTCTGGTCGTCTTCTTTACAGAAGAGAGTATCCAGTGGTAGAGTCATTTTGGGCCATGGACTTAAAGCTGAGAGACAGAAGACAAGATATAACTGAGCTAAAACACTTTTCATATTTCCAACAATAAAATTAGCATTTTATATTTAAATTAGTTACAATGTCTGTCATAATTACTTGGTCTTCAAAATGAACAGAAGATGAATGAATGTGGGAAAAACTGTAACATTTTCCTTAAGTAATAAAATGGGAGCACCTAAAAGAGGCAGGTAGATTAGGTACATATAAATCAGATATTATTTTTCCATTGGCTACTAGGTTTTAAACACAGTAGGGTCATCCTGTGTTAGAAGGATATTTTTTAAGTATCCTGATATAAGCAGAGATCTTTCCTTAAAGCTGCTACCCTTAAGTCCATATAATGGTGAAATTAAAGATTAAGAAGTCTAAAATAGCCCTGGCCAGTGTGGCTCAAAAGGTTGGAGTATCATCTTGTGCACCAAATGGTCACATGTTCGATACCCAGTCATGGCACATACCCAGGCTGCAGGTTCAATCCCTGGTTTGGGACCTATGGGAGACAACCAATCAATGTTTCTCTCTCACACTGATGTTGTTTCTCTCTCCTTCTCTTTCTCCCCTCCCCACTCTCTCTCTCTCTAAATATCAATTTTTTAAAGTCTAAAATAAACTTAAGATATCTATGATCCATACATGACCTTCTAAAAGTCTAGACTCTCTGGACCAGTTGTTGACAAGCTTTTCCTGTAAAGGGCCAGATATTTTAGTTGTAACAAATCTAGCCCATAATGCCTAAAATATTTAGCATCATGGGCCAGATTTGTTACAACTACTCAATTCTGACATTGTAGCATGAAGGTAGTCATAGCAAGTGTGTAAATGAATGAGAATGGTTATAGTCCAATGAAACTTGACTTACAAAAATAGATGGCAGACTACATTTGACCCATGTACCTGTAGTTTGCTAACCCCTGCTCTAACGGATTTTTCAGGGAAGATGAAGGTCATCATGGACATTCCTGGGCCCATTAAAAGGCTGCTTTTAGGCCAAATAACAGTGTCTGAATAAGCTATATTCAATGATTTAGGCACCCCAGCTTCTTTTTCTAGTTTTCTCCTATATTCCTCCAAAGTGCCTATAATTGGAATATGTGTTTTTCTCTCTCTCTTCCCGACCCCCCACTAAAAACTATCTGTTTACGAAACCAATTAAATATAAATTATCCAAATTACCCATAAGGTTTAATGTAGTCATGATTCATGTTGTTTAAATTTTAACAAAGGATAGAAGCTTTAAACCAAAAGAATGAATCTCTAATCTGGGGATTTTCATTTGTTAACCATGTACTGGACGGTGGGGGGATAGGCAGGGAGAGCAAACAGAGCCTGGCAACCCTAAAATCACATTTGATAAGCAGTCATTTATTCCACTTCTCCCAAAGGCAGGTGTTTGTGAGGCCAGTCCCACCTCTGAGAGTATTACTAACCCAGCTGAAGAGCAAAGGACTCACTGCACAAGACCGATCAACAAGCAACAGGAAAAAACAAGAAACTGAAAGGGATCAACACACACGGGAAAATGAGCTGGAAGAATATTCTGTTTTTACAAGTCTAGATTTATAATAGGTGGGTGACCACTAATAACCAACAAAACAGGAAAACAGAGTAAGTAACATTAGTGTCTGGATAATATAGTAAACAATAAATAAAATGTTAGTGTTTGGATATTACATATCAACTACTATATTTCAAGCCTTTGAGTGAGGTTAAACAAGATGGAGTACCATGCCCAACAAATGGTCTGAATATTTGTGTTCACGTTACACAAGACAATGGGCACTTACTGCTGAGTTGTCTTGTACCCTCTGGGAGATTACAATAGTCAGTGGTGAGCAGTTTTTCATCACTAATGTATTAAAGTCCTCTGTCATAGATGACAAATTCCATGTTCCCTCCTGGAATACTTAGTCAAACAGACAAAGAAAGACCAGAGCCCCACCACACATCATGCCAAGACCTGCCTTTGGCGCTTCCTGCATAATCATCATTATTACATCATCGCTACATGTCCATGATAAGCCTGGGGAGAATTATTTATGCCAGAGAAACATAAATGCGATGGGGTTTTTAATTTTCTGCAGTTTTGAAGGAATTCCCTCCTTACAGCCACTTAAGCTACTCTTCTGATATGCACCCCCACCTCAAAGTAACAAACCTCGAAGTTTGCCCTGGTCAGGGCACACACAAGAATCAACCAATGAATGCATAAATAAGTGGAATAATAAATTGATGATTCTCCCCCCCACTTCCTGCTCTCCCTTCATCTATCACTAAAATAAAAAAATTGAAAAATAAAATTAAAAAAGTTTGCCTAAAGTAATCCCTCTCCTATGCCAGATGTATTTAGGATAAAAATGATAACTTTAAAAACCAAACTAGCCTGGCTGATGTGGTTCAGTGGATTGAGCACTGTCCCATGGGCTGAGGTCCCAGTTCAATTCCAATCTGGGCACATGCCTGGGTTGCGGGCTCAGGCCCCAAAGTGGAGTGTGCAGGAGGCAGTGGATCGATGTTTCTCTCTCACATCAATGTTTCTCTCCCTCCCTAAAAAAAAAAAAAAAAAATTAAAAAACTAAAAATACTCCTTATGTGAAGGTCATGTGAAAAGCATAAAACAGGTGTTATTCATACAATTTCTTTGCATAATTTCCAAACATCTATTTTATATCAATTCATCTTCAACCCAAAGCAATGTTAAACCTCTGCACTATTCCTAATAATCCAGGCATGAGGACTTCAATTCCACTAATGCTAACTGGGAAAAGAAAACAAAACTAATATGAACATCCACATCAAGAAGAACTAAACTGACAAAGTTGGTTGTTAAGATTATGGATATGGAGACTCCATTTTTGTGATCAGAAGACTTACTTAAGATGGCAATTCTTCCCAAATTAATCTACAGATAAAGCAGTCCCTATCAAAAACAAAGCTGACTTCTTCGGAGAAATTGGAGAAACTAATCCTAAAATTCATATGGAAATTCTAGGGACCCAAAATGCCCAAAACAATCTTTAAAAAGAACAAAAGTGGAGAACTTACACTCCCCAATTTCAAAACTTACTACATCAGCCCTAGCCAGGTAGTTCAGTTGGTTAGAGCATCATCCTGATACAGCAAAGTTGTGGGTTCAATCCCTGGTCAGGGCACACACAAGAATCAACCAATGAATGCATAAATAAGTGGAATAATAAATTGATGTTTCTCCCCCCCCCCTCCACTTCCTGCTCTCCCTTCATCTATCGCTAAAATAAAAAAATTGAAAAAAAATAAATTATAAGGAAAAAAGCATACTACAAAGGAATAATAATCAAGACAGTGTGGTTCCAGAATAAGGACAGATATGTAGATCAACAGAATAAAATTCAGAGTCAAAGAATAAACCTAGGTATCTATGGTTAATTGATTTTTTTTCAAAAAGATGCCAAGACAAGTCAATGGTGAAAAAATAGTATTTTCAACAAATGGTGCTGGCACAACTGGATAGCTACATGCAAAAGAATTAATTTAGACCCTTACCTCACACAAAGAAAAAATAAAAAGACTAAACGTCATCAAAATAAAAACTTTTGTAATTAAATAGATACTGTCAAGAAAGTGAGAAGAGGGTCCAGTCAAGATGGCAACGTAAGTAAATGCAGTACTGAAATTCTCCCACAACCACATCAAAATTACAACTAAATTATAAGACAACCATCATTCACAACTGCCTGAAATCTAGCTGAACAGGAGTCCTGCAACTAAGGATATAACGAGAACGCCAGGTGATGGGGCAGAGATGTGGAACGAGCTGGTCACACACCCACTTACGGGCAACTAAAAATCCGGAGGGGTCCAAGCCCCACACCAGGCCCCCAAGCCCATGGTTCCAGTTGCCAGGAAGTAAAGTCCCTATAACTTATGACTGTAAAAACCTGTGGGGATTGAGACTGAAGGAGACTGAGGGCTGTTGGAGTCCCAGCCTCTTAAAGGGCTCCTGCACAAACTTACTAGAACTCATTCATTCTGAACTTGTGCTGGGACAGTAGCTTGAAAGGCACCAAGAGCATATGGGGAGGAAGTGAATTGTCTGCCATCAGGGTGAGAGCTGAAGGGGCAGCACTCTCTCAGTAAGAAGTGCCAGTAGAGGTTATTATTCCTTTTCTGAGCCCTCCCCCCACAGAGCTGGCAGGTGGGCACCATATCATGTCTCCATCAACCTGGCTATCACTGTTCGTCCTGCCCTGGTGGTCCCCTGAGACACCACCTCCCCCAACATTCAGGCCCAACCACGCTGTTTCCAGTGGCTCTTCCAAACACCTGTCCAAAATACCTTTTACTAAGTGGCCCAATCCCAGCACTAGCTGTAACTGGCTTTGGTTCACAGCTTGGCCTCAAGGGACATCTCTAAGCCTAGCACAAGGAGCAACCATCTGCATATCACTTTGTAGCTCATGCAAAGTGGCAGCTGGCTTTGGCCTGCACCTCCTGGGAGGCCCCAGACTCAGGGCACACAGCATACAGCTTTAAACCATGCCGAAGCACTATCCAACCACCTCCACAGGTGACACCCTCAAGGGGCGTACTCAGGGAGCACCAGAGCCTGACTGAAGTGAGTCCAGCTCCATGGAGAGCTGATCCTCCACAGTGGTGGCAGACAGTCCTCGCAGCCAATCACTCTGGAAGTAAATTCCTCCCACTGAGATGCCAACAGCAATCAAGGCTCAACTACAACAGGGGGGGTATACACAGCCCACACTCACGGTAGGGGGTATACACCTGGAGTGCCCAGTTCAGTTATCAGGAAGGCTTTGCTACTGAACGCTATAAAACACCTACAATGTAAGGCCAACTTACCAAGCCCAGAAGATGTAGCAGCTCTACCTAATACATAGAAACAAACACAGGGAGCCGACAAAATGAGGTGACAAGAAAACATACCACAAATGAAAGAACCGAACAAAACTCCAGAAAAAGAACCAAACACAAGCAATCTACTAGATGCACAGTTCAAAACACTGGTTATAAAGATGCTCAATTTAGGGAAAGAGTAGATGAACTTAGTGAGAACTTCGAGGAGATAGGAAACATAAAAATGGATAGAAAAGATAAAAAGAACCAGTCAGAAATAAAGAATACATTACAAGGAATCAGTAGTAGAGTAGAGAAACCAGATGATCAAATCACAGGTTTGGAAGGGAAAGAAGCACAAAACAACCAATCTGAACAGCAAAAGGAAATAAAAATCCACAAAAATGAGGATAGTATACAGAGCCTCTGGCACCAACATTCACATCATGGGGGTGCCAAAAGGAGAACAGAAAGAGCGAGAAACTGAAAATCTATGTAAAAAAATAATGACAGAAAAATTCTCTTACCTGCTGAAGAAAAAAAGACATACAAGTTTTGGAAGTGCAGAAGCACAAACAAGATGAACCAAAAGAGGCCCACACGAGACATATCATAATTAAAATGCCAACATTTAACGACAAAAAGAGATTCTTAAAAGCAGCAAGAGAAAAGCGATTAGTTACCTATAAGGGAGCTCTCACAAGACTATCAGCTGATTTCTCAACAGAAACTCTGAAGGCCAGAAGGGACTGACAAAAAATATTCAAAGTGATGAAAAGCAAGAACCTAGAACCAAGATTACTCTACCCAGAAAAACTATCATTTAGAATCAAAAGACAGATAAAGAGCTTCCCAGACAAGAAAAAGCCAAAGTGGTTCATCACCAACAAGCCAGTATTCCAAGAAATGATAGAGGGACTTCTTTGGAAAGGAAAAAAAAGATAAAAAATATGAATAATGGCAATAACTACACATCTATCAACAATTACTTTAAATGTAAATGGATTAAATGCTCCAATCAAAAGACATATGCAGGCTGAATAGATAACAAAACAAGACCCTTACATATGCTGTTTACAAGAGACCCACTTCAGATCGAAAGATACACAGACTGAAAGTAAAGGGATAAAAAAAGGTATTTCACGAAAATGGAAACAACAAAATCTGGGTAGCAATACTTATACCAGACAAAATAGACTTTAAAAGAAAAGTCTTTATAACAAGAAGCAAAGAAGAACCCAGTATTCCACTTCTGGATATTTGGGGGAAAAAAACCCAAACACTAAATGGAAAACACATGTACATGCATATGTTCACTGCAGCATTATTTGCAATAGACAAGACATGCAAGCAACCTAAGTGTCCATCAATAGGTGAATGGATAAAGAAATGTTGCCCTGGCCAGTTTGGCTCAGCGATTGAGCGCTGGCCTGTAGACCAGAAAGTCCCGGGTTCGGTTCCTACTAGGGGCATGTACCACAAAAAAAAAAGAAAAGAAATGTTGTGTGTGTGTGTGTGTGTGTGTGTGTGTGTGTATAAAACAAAACATGACTCAGCCATAAAAAAGAACGAAATCTTTCCATCTGCAACAACATGGACAGACGTACAGGGTATTGTGCTGAGTGAAATAAGTCAGAGAAAGACAAATGCCATATGATTTCACTTATGTGAAATCTAAAAAACAAAATAAACAGGCAAGCAGAACAGAAACAGACTAATAGATACCGAGAATATTTTGACAGTTGCCAGATAGGAAGGGAATGGGGGGGGAGGGGATGGGTGAAAAAGGTGAAGGGATTAATAAATACAAATTGGTAGCTACAAAACAGTCACGGGGATGTAAAGTACAGCATTGGGAATATAGTCAATAATACTGTAATAACTGTGTATGGTGTCAGATGGGTTCTAGATTTATCAGGGTGATCACTTAGTGATATGATGTCTAATTACTGGGTTGTACACCTAAAACTAACATAATATTGTATGTTGACTATAATTGAAAAAAATAATTTAAAGTTAAAACAAGTGAGAAGACAACCATAGGACAGAATAATTATTTTTGCAAATCTTATAACTAATAAGGTATTTGTATCTTCAATATATAAAGGACTGTTACGCCCTGGCCAGTTTGGCTCAGCGGTTAGAGCGTCGGCCTGCGGTCCGGAGAGACCCGGGTTTGGTTCCCGCTAAGGGCACGTACTTCGGTTGCAGTTTGTCCCCGGCCCTGGTTGGTCGTGCGGGTGGCAGCCACTCGATGTGTCCCTTCACATCGATGTTTCTCTCTCTCTCTCCTTCCTCTCTCTCCCTCCCACTCTATCTGTACAAAAAATGGAAAAATATCCTCGGGTGAGGATAAAAAAAAACATAAAAATAAAAAAAAATTTAAAAAAAAAGGACTGTTACAACTCAATAATAAAAAGACAATCCAATGAAAAATGGATTGCTCAATATCATTAGCCAACAGGAGAATATAAATCAAAACCATGAGATACCACTTTAATTGTGGATAATTAAGACAGATAAGCATTGTCAAGAACATGGAGAAACCTTCATTCACCACTGGTATGAATGTATGTAACTGCTTTTGATAATCTGGCTCTTCCTCAAAATATTAAATATAAAGCTACCATATGACCCAGTATTTTCATTCCTAGGTATACACATACTCAAAGAAATAAAAGTAGGTATCTATATAAATACATAAATGGATGCTCATAGCTAAAAACAGAAATAACTCACATGTCCATAAACAGGTGAATGGATAAATAAAAATGTGTATGTATACAACAGAATATTATTCAGGAATAAAAAGGAATAAAATACAAATATATGCTACCACATGGATGAACCTTGGAAACATTATACTGAATGAAAGAAGAACCACATATTGTATGTATGATAATATTTGTATGAAATGTCCAAAATTGGAAAATTTATAGAGAAAGAAAGGAGATTAGTGATTGCCAACAGTTGGAGTAGGAATGGGGACGGGGGTAATGGCTGAAAGGATTTATTTTTAGGGTAATGAAAATGTTCTACAATTTATTATGGTGATGGTTGTATAATTCTTATATATACTAAAAGCCACAGAACTGCACACTTTAAATAAGTGGACTGTAACAGATGTGAATTATAGCACAATAAAGTTGTTTACAAGAAGAAAATGGAAATAATATGGATTAAGATAGATAAAATTTTATTTTTCCTTTGTGCCATCCCTAATGTAATTTATCTAGATGAAATGTTACACTATCACTTTTCCAGTTTTGAGAAAGGTAACAGGAAGGCTGCAAAATCAGCAATCAGAAACCTAAATACTGACTCTATTAAATACTAACTGTGATTTAGGCAAACTGACAAATTTCAGTGACTTGTTTCTTCATCTGTAAAACAGAAAGGTAATCATCTCTGCTCAGTTTACAGGGTTATTGTGAAGCTCAAATAAGATTCTGTCTCAATGCACAAATGTAAAGGTTTAACATCAGCACATTTTCCAGCCTGACTTTTCAGGCATCTGCAGGGATGGATTCCTCTCATCACCTCACAAAAGCCAATTTGTTTGCTTTGTTGTCCCAGTACTATTTTCTGTCTTCCTACATCTCAGTTTGACACAAGATTTATATTATGGGACCTCAAATTCTTTCTGACATTTATTAAGAACCTCTAGCAGCATGACTCTGAGGGAAAGCAAAGTTTACAATGCTGTCCCTATAAGGGGAGAGGTAGGAAGGTCTGATCCATATGACAAGCAGTGTGGTTTAACAATCAAGCTGTTCTATGTGCTTTCCAGATGGTCAAATTAACAAAGGGCTCTGCCTAGTCCAACAACAATGCTGGGACAAAGATGCCAGTTGCAGCCTCCCTAAGGGAAAGTCACCCCAGGTCGGCATGCCTCCCTGCACCCTTGCTCATAGGGTACCAGGCTCCAGCAGTGCCCTGCTCCTCCTTATTGTGAGTTGTTGAATCTTAGCATCATGACTGGCACTCAGAATAAATGTCGTTAAGTCAAGCCTGTCTCTTCAGAAGCATGTTTCATATAAAAAATGAGAAGCCTATGCAGAGCAACTAGCAGGCACAGAAAGAAAGAAGAAAAGTAGAAGTGAGGAGACCAATTGTAACATACAGCACTGAATGATCAAGGCCATACTTAAAGCAGTGACCATGGAGGATGAAGAGAGACCATTTGAAAAGGAGGACTGACATAGTCTGGTCAGGGGTCTAAGCCATACCCTGGTTTCCAGCTGTGCATTTACAAGACCCGCATACAAGGGAAGCGGGGAATAGAGGGGGCCTGGCCATGGGTACAATGAGCTTGACATGCCTGTAGGAAACCCAAAATATGTATACAGTGTATAACGTGCGCCAGCATTCTGTGACACCTGAACACTCTGGAACAGAATCGGTTTCACAAGGAAAACCTGCAGAATCAGTCATTTATGTCATTAGATGCTATAAACAAATGATAAAACTCATTATCAATACAGAATTTTAAAACTTTTTGGAAAACAGCAATGGAGGATCCCTAACTTTAAAAAAAGCACCTCTCCCAATCAAAATTTAACATTACACTTATACAACAAAACTCTTAGAGGCATTTTAATTAAACTTAAAAGCAAAATAAGCACATTACCACTGCTATTATTAAATATATAGATTTTTTTCTGCTGTGATAAGACTTAAAAATAAAAAGAAGTTTATAGGACAATGGAAGAGCTAAAGTCCAAAGAAATTTTCTAAGAACTAATGAAATAAGTTAAAAACATAAACATTTGTATAAAATCAGTAAAGTGTTCTAGTGTAAGAAAATAGTATATAACTGTGAAACACAATAAAGGAAACCTCATTTAAAATGAAGTCAGAAGGCCAGAAGGTAGAACCCACACATGCACTACTTACTCCTCATCAATTACAGATCTGGTAAGGAATCATCACTTACCAGACCTCAACATAATTCTTGCCCAGCAACAAGCCCAGCCAATGGGAAAAGATGCACCATCCTGAGCCCTGTTTTCTTCCAATAGACTTTCATTCAAAACAATCAACTTCCTCCTTTTTCTCTATAAAGTAATATTCCCCTGGTTTTCTTGCTGGACTTGCCTGAGATGTTCCTACATCTTGCTTGTCCCAAATTGTAGTTCTTCACAATAAAACCATTTTTCTGGTTGAAATAACTTAACTGGCTGTTTTACTTTTAAGGTCAAAAAAGCACATTAATGTCACCAACATTCCTGTACACCAATAAAACAAAAAACATAAGATAGAGATAAATGGTATAAAAGCTACTTAAGAACTTTTAATGAAAAACACTCAGTGATTTTAGAGTATATTTTTACTCTAATAAGCTGTATTCTCCCCAAATTAAAGCATATATTTACTGTAATTCCAATTGAAGCCCAGGCAAGATTTTTTTACTTGACAAAATGATTCTAAAATTATGCATAAAAATAAGATGATCAGCCCTGGCCGGTTTGGCTCAGCGGTTAGAGCGTCGGCCTGCGGTCCGGAGAGGTCCGGGTTCGGTTCCCGCTAAGGGCACGTACCTCGGTTGCAGTTTGTCCCCGGCCCTAGTTGGTCGTGCGGGTGGCAGCCACTCGATGTGTCCCTTTCACATCGATGTTTCCCTCTCTCTCTCTCCCTCCCACTCTGTCTGTACAAAAAAATGGAAAAATGTCCTCGGATGAGGATTAAAAAAATAATAATAATAAGATGATCAAATAAAAATGTTAGGGATGGAGCAACAGGGAGATGAGTCCTATGAAATATTAAAACATTACAAGGAAATAATTATTATTAAGCTGCAAGGTACAGTTACAAGACAAAAAAACAATTCAGAAACTGGCTGAATTATACAGAAGAGTATAATAGACAATAGAAGAAGAAGCAAAAAATTATACGAAAGGAACAAGTTACTCAATAAATGGTGTTGGGATAACTGGTTTAATAATTTGGAAGGTAAAATAATAATTAAGACTCACACTTTATTCATCAAAATAAATTCTGATGAATAGAAAATGTTAAATGTAAAAACTGAAAATAAAATACAATTGCAAATGAATATATTAAGGAACTAAAAAGAAACTGTCTTTGTAAGCCTAGAATTATTGGGGGGGGGGGTGGAAATCACAAAAGAAAATGGGTTATAGATATGATTCTATAATTAAAAGAAAAAATAAATGAACAGGTAAAAAAAAAAAGACTGGAAAATATTTGTAGAATATGAGACAGAAAGTTAATACCTCTTTTACATAAGAAATTAAGACAAAGAGCTTTAAACATACACACACACACACATTAAATACCAATAAATAAATGGTCAGGGCTTAGAAACAGCCACTTCACAACTGAGGACATAACATGCATGGATGGATCCTCCCTTAATATTTTAATAATCATGAAAAGGCAACCATTTTTTTCCTTTACAAAATTTTACAAAAATGTAGCAAAGCCTATCATTGCCCAATATGCACTGTGTTTCATGACCCTCTTATGGTAGAATCATACACTCAGAATGCCAATCAGGAAAACCTATAAGCAAGAAGGCTCAGAATCCATGGAAGAGCTTACCTTTGGGAAGCTTAACCTGAGAAAATATATAAAAATCTACAAGCTGCCCTGGCCAGTTTGACTCAGAGGTTATAGCGTCGGCTTGCAGACCAATGAGTCATGGGTTCGATTCCGGTCAAGGGCATGTACCTTGGTTGTAGGTCAGCCCCGGCCCTCGTCGGGTCATGCAGGAGGCAACCAGTCGATGTGTCTCTCTCACATGGATGTTTTTCTCTCTCCCTCCCTCCCACTCTATCTGATGGTAAATAGAAAAATACCCTCGGGTGAGGATTAAAAAAAAAATCTACAAGCCCCCAAATTTTCAATATACCATTATTTACAACAAAGAAAAACAAGAAACACCCTAATTTCCCCAAATTGAAGAAAAGCTAAGTGAACTATGGTGCTAGTACAATCAAAGGAATATTATGTAGGCATTAGAAGAGAAATATGGGTATGATAAAAAGCAAGTGATAAAACTTTACACATATTATAACTACGTTATATGCACACAAGCAAAAATCATGAAGGGAATTCATAAAAAAGCAAATAGTTTAATAATATGGCAATATAAATGATTTGTGTTTCTCTATTTCTAAACCTTTAGTAATGATGTATTACTTTTATAGTTTAAATATATATTTTTAAAGACCTAAAATTAAAAGTGCAAGTCATTCCAAATAGGTTGGTAATGGTCAGAATTTTATGCTGTAAATAAACAAACCATAAAGGGCTCATTTTCTGTGAGAAATACATTTTGAAGGTCTCACAGAATTCAAGCCTAATTTTCCTACAGGAATAAAGTAGGGGAATGCATTCACAGGACAGATGTTTATAGCCATCACAGTGTTTGCTTTATTCACCTTTTTAATTTTTTCAGCATTTCCTCTAATATTTTTGTACAGTGCTGTCCCTCAAAAAATAGCATAGTGCATCATGGGAATAGTTTGCCTTTCTTCATGGTGTTTTATTACATCATACTTTTATTCCAAAGTTACTTATTTTGGAGACTGTAAAATATTTCATATTTTACACATAGTAAGACTTCATTAATATTTTCATGTCTTACTATTTCCAGTCTGCATACATCCCACAAAATGTTACTGGCACTGGAATGGCCTCTACACACCAGCAAAAATGAAGGCTCAGAACAGAACTGCTAGCAAACAGGAATCTACATATCATTATAACATGGCAGACAAGGGGCGGTTAGTACTTGTCCACCGTCAATATATCTGAGCATCTGCCTGGCACTTAGAAGGGTATCTGTTCCTTACACTGCTTTTTTTCAGTATATATTTGTCCCTGTTACTATGGCAGAAACATTTTTGTGGCAGGAACCACCATCTTCCACAGAATACAGAAGAGGATAATAAACACAAGCTATTAGTTAATGTGTGTTTTTACTTTAATCATGTTTATAAAAGAAACCTCTTTTTCCATAATACTGAAAGTCTTCTTTCCACCAGAGAAGAATGATTTGTTCTTTCTTAACAACAGGTTTCCTTGTGTGAAGAAAGCCCATATGTCCAGGATCTGACAAGATTGGACATTTTCACTGTTTAAACAATATTTACTGTAAAAATTCTTCAATTTCCTGCAACCAATCACACAAACTTACTCACTGTCCTCATCACTTTCATAAATTATGTAGATTATATTATTCAACACAAATGAATAAGTGACCTCAGCTCTTGGAATGTGCCTGGGCTCTTTGCTCTCCTCTTCACCCAGCTATGAAGGGGCTTCCCGCCACAGCCTTCCTCCGACCCCTATTTTCAACCTCTCCTTCCTAAAGGCATCAACAAAGTAATAAAATCAGTTTTCCATGATAAAGGTGCAGAATAAGTAGTTTATGTCACTGGATGCTATTTATAAATTTAAAAATTCCACACTGATACAGAATTTTAAAGTGTTTTATGCATTTCCATCTTTAAAAGCAAAAATAAAGTCCCTGGCCAGGGTAGCTCAGTTTAGAGTGTTGTCTAGATACGCCAAGGTTTTGGGTTCAATCTCTGGTCAGGGCACATACAAGAAACAGCCAATGAATGCATAAATAAGTGGAACAACAAGTTGATGTTTCTCTTCTTCTTCTTCTTCTCTCTCTCAAATTAATAAATAAATTTAAAGCAAAATTAAATGTTATTTGAAAGCTCCTATTCCCTTCTCTTCTATAACCTAACTTTCTGAGTTGTCCACAATTGTCTCCCTTTTCTTGTCTTTTACAATTCAATTTAACGCTCCCTTTTCTTGTCTTTTACAACTCAATTTAATGCTGCTCATTGCACAGAAGTTGTTCTTGGCCTTTCTTCTTTATTGATCAAACTTGGAAAAGCTTCTGAATAAAGGGAACCAAAATAATACATACAAAAAAGAAAACTGGTTTGGCTCAGCAGTTAAAGCACTGGCCCTCAGACCAAAGTGTCACAGATTCAATTCCTGGTCAAGGGCACATAGTGACAACATCATTTTACATTCCCACCAATAGAGTATGAGGGTTGCAGGTTCAGTCCCTGGCCCCAGTCAGGATCATGCAGGAGGCAACCAATCGATGTGTCTCTCTCACATCATTGTTTCTCTCTCTCTCCCACCCTCCCTCTCTCCCTCTTTACAAAAACAAAAAAACAAAAAACAAAAATGAATGAAAAAATATCCTTGGGTGAGGATTAAACCCCGCCCCCCAAAAAAAAAGAAAGAAAACTCAGGAAAATAAAGATAATCTTCTAAAGTGTTTTAGTCCTTTTAAAAAAGGCAATCAATATATGCCAGAGTAACAAATGATATGGCATCAATAAAGACAAAATATGATAATATAAAAAGAAAAAACTAGTCATTCTTAAAAATTAAAAATTATAAGCTAAACTAAAATTCAACAGAAGGGTTAGACAAGTCAGTCACAGAACTTGCCAAAAGAGTAGTACAAAAATATACATTATAAAATAAGATAAAGATAGAGTAATTTGTGGATGTAAGAATATCTGCAGATCAGTTTAAGAATCCCAATAACTGACCCAAAAGTTCCAGAAAGGAGCATAAACACAGAGGGTAGGAAATAATGAGAGAAATAATACAAGAAATTCCCAAGACCTGAAAGATGCAAGTCCCTACAATGAAAGGCCCAGTCAGCACCTAGCACAATTAATTTCAAAAACGCTCATATAATAATTCAATAGCAAAAAAAAAAAAACAATCCTTTTAAAAATGGGTAAAAGATCTGAACAGGCATTTTCCCAAAGAAAGCATACAGGTAGTGAACAGGTACACATAAAAGTGTTCAAAATCACTAATCAGAAAATTGCAAATCAAAACCACAATGAGGTATCATCCACACACCTGTCAGAAGGGCTATTATCAAAAAGATTAAAAAGACTAAGTGTTGGCAAGGATGTAGAGAAAAGGGAACCCTCATAACTCTATTGGTGAGAATGTAAAATGATGTAGTAACTATGGAAAACAGTATGGAGGTTCCTGAAAAATTTTAAAATAAAAGTACCATATAATCCAGCAATTCCACTTCCGGATATTCATCTGAAGAAAGCAAAAACACTGACTCAGAAAAAAGATCTATACTCCAATGTTCACGGTAGCATTATTTACAATAGCCAAGACATGGAAGCAACCTGTGTCCATGAATGGATCATTAAAGAAAGAAAATATGGCACATATATACAATGGAATATGATCCAGCCATTGAAAAGAAGTATCCTGTCATTTGCAACAACATGAGTGGATCTTGAGGAAATCGTGGTAAAATCCTAAGACACCAAGGACAAAGAAAAATCCAAAAAATAAAATTTCTCAATGGGGAGTATTTGCCTGAGCTCATAATTACAGCATCAGACCATGAACCAAAGAGTCATGGGTTCAATTCTCAGTCGAGGACCTGTACCTCAGTTGTGAGTTTGATCCCCAGACCTGATCAGGGTCATGTGGGAGGCAACCAATTGATGGGTCTCTCTCACATTGATATTTCTCTCTCTATCTCTCTCCCTCTTTCTCTTTCTTTCTCTCTCTCTCTCTCTCTCTCTCTCTCTCTCTCTCTCTCTCTCTCCCTCCCTCCCTCCCTCCCTCCCTCCCTCCCTCCAACTATATCTGAAAAAAAGTCAATGGAAAATATCCTCGGGTGAGAATTAAAGAAATAAAATAAATAAAATCAAGAGAATAGATACTGTTTAATATTTATAAAACAAGAAATAGGCCCTGGCCAGTTTGGCTCAGCGGTTAGAGCATTGGCCTGCAGTCTGGAGAGACCCGGGTTCGGTTCCCGCTAAGGGCGCGTACCTCGGTTGCAGTTTGTCCCCGGCCCTGGTCGGTTGTGTGGGTGGCAGCCACTTGATGTGTCCCTTTCACATCGATGTTTCTCTCTCTCTCTGTTCCTCTCTCTCCCTCCCCCTCTACCTGAACAAAAAAATGGAAAAATGTCCTCGGGTGAGGATAAAAAAAAACAAGAAATAGTACAAGCATATCATTTGAAAGGCATGAAGGACACTATAAAAACAAACAAACAAAAACTATGATATAAGCAGCTGCCTCTGTGGAGAAGGAGAAGGGCTATAGAAGAGTCGAGGACAAAATTAGTGTTGTTCATTACAAGACTTTGGGTATTAGGTCTCTTATCCACAGTTCTAAAATTTAAGAACCTATTTTTTTTAATAGCTTTTCTTTACTTATATTTAACAGTAAGACCTAATCTTACATGAACACTTTGTGGGCTAAAACTATTTAGAAGCTATTTATAATCTCTATTTTATGCAACTCAGTATAACTATTAAATATCAACACAAGTATTAAAGTGTGTTGATCAAGGTGTGTTTCCCCAGTACAGGTATTCAATAATACATACTATGTATAGATTACATTTCTAAAATTTGAGAATTTCTAAAGTCTAAAATATATCTGGGAAGGTGGATGGAGGGATGTGTGAAAGGGTAATAAAAGACACAAACTTCCAATTATAAAATAAGTTTGTGGTGGGACATAATATACAGCATAGAGAAAACAGTAATATCATGATAACATGACAGATGGTTACAAGATTATGGTGATCGCATCATAATGTATATAAGTATCAAATTAGTATGTTGTACATACTAATATATTGTATGTCAACTATTCTTTAATAAAAAAATAAAATATTTCTGACAACAGTTTATGTATTGAGGTAATATTGATTAATAAAATCATATAGGTTTCAGGTGTACAATTCTATAATACATCATCTATATATTGTATTATGTGTTCATCACCCAAAATCAAGTCTCCTTCCATCACCATTTATGCCCCTTTACCCTCTTCTACTAATACCAGTATAATAATCTGATTATTATTTAGCAGAAAAAGAGTGAAGGGGAGACTAGATAATATAGGCATGCCATTTATACAGCTTTGCCAGAAAGCTGCAAGTTAGCACTCTCCAGATCTGTTCCCCATAAAATGATGGAAGAAGGGACTGGGCAAAGGCTGTTTAGACACATACCCAGTAAAGTCTGAGAGATGTGGGAAGGTGCTTACCTGTCAGTCACTCCTGGGAACAAGTAATTGGCCAGAATAGGCATGGTCACTGCAAAGGCACAAAACCTGAATATTTAAATTTCTGAATAAAGGAAGTTCATTCTCATTCTCATTCTCTCTCTCTCTCCCCCCACCCCCTCTGTTTGTGTCAGACTCCCAGCTTGCAGGGCTCCCACGCCCTGCATTTGCCCATGTGGTCCTCAGCCATGTGGACTCCACACAATGGATTAATGGACTGAATCTTGCCAGATATCCCTCCAGACCCAGTTTCATCATGGAAAGAAACTCTGGACACTGGCCCTACTTTCTAGCTTTGCTAAACCCACAGCTGCCCCTTTCCAGGGACACAGGATTTTGCACCCCGAGGAATGTGACTCCATGCAAACAAAAATCATTCATTCTCCTATGTGAGTGCAGGAAAATTCCTTTTCTGAAGATGCCACAAGAGCCCCACTCCCACGTCTGTCAGTGAAATGTGGCCCACTGATTTCTCCTGCAATGTCACCTCCCCCCACCACCCTTTCCCTCTGGTAATCACCATGATTGCCTGTCTCTGAGTTTCTTTTGTTGCTTAATCCCTTCAACTTTTTCACCCCATCCCCCAACCCCCTTCTTCTTTGATAGCTGTCATTTTGTTCTGTTTCTATGAGTCTGTTTCAGTTTTGTTAGTTTATTTTGCTCATTAGATTCCACATATCAATGAAATCTTACAGTATTTGTCTTTCTCTGCCTGGCTTATTTCACTTAGCATAATGCTCTCCAGGTCTATCTATACAGGCACAAAGGGTAAGATTCCATTCTTTTTTTTAAGGCCAAGTAGTATTCCATTGTATAAATGTACTACAGCTTTTTTTTTTTAATGTATTGAATTTATTGGTGTGACATTGGTTCACAAAACCATACAGGTTTCAAGTGTGTAACTCAATAGTCATCTGCACACTGCATTCATTGTATACCCACTGCCCCAAGCAAAGTTTCCTTCTGTCCCCATTTCCCCCACTCGGCTCACCTGCATCTATTCCCTAACCCCCTTTCCCTATGGCTGTCACCACACTGTTGTCTGTGTCTAAGTGTTTTATTTTTTTGCTTAATACCTTCACCTTCTTTCATCCAGACTCCCACACCCTCTCCCCTCTGACAGCTGTCAATCTGTTCCATGCATCCACATCTCTGTTTCTATTTTGCACATCAGTTTATTTTGTTCATTCGATTCCACATGTAAGTGACATCATAAGGTATTAGTCTTTCTCTGACTGGTTTATTTCAGTTAGCATAATAATCTCTAGGTCTATCCATGCAGTTGTAAAAGGTAAGATTTTTTTTCTTTCTTACAGCTAAGTAGTATTCCATTGTGTAAATGTACCACAGCTTTTTATCCACTCATCTATTGATAGGCACCTTAGCCCATTTCCAGGACATAGCAACTGTAAATAATGCTGCAATGAAAATAGGGGTGCATATATTCTGTTCCAGTTTCTTTGAATATATTCCCAGAAGTGGAATCACTGGGTCAAAAGGTGGTTCCATTTCTAATTTCTGAGGAAACTCCATACTGTTTTCCATGGTGGCTGCACCAGTCTGCATTCCCAGTCTGCAGGAGGGTTCCCCTTTCTCCACATCCTGCCAGGACTTATTTGTTGATTTATTGATGATAGCCATTCTGACAGGTGTGATGTGGTATCTCATTGTGGTTTTAATTTGCATCTCTTTGATGATTAGTGATGTGGCCACTTTATCATCCACACAAATATAGTACAGTACAAATATCTTTAAGAATAATTCCAAAAGACCACAATTATAAGTTGTTAAGAATTACTGATGAAAGCTCTTTTAAGACAATGAAAAACTTAAATTCCGTAAGTTACAGATGAGAAGTTTCAGTGCTTGAGTCAAAAATCCAATGCAGAATAGGTAGAAAGGTCACTGAAGACACATATGTTACCACAGTTAGCTAGATATTAATGAAGAAAGAGCAGCAAAGGGGAGTCCGGAAACTGAGCCTGTTTGCTTCATCAGGAAGCTACTGCTTCATACCCCAAGAAATCGCAGCACTGTCTTTCAAAGGGGATTAACATCCCTCCCTTCCTGCTCCAGTACAGGATTGTATGGGTGGGAGGGGGAGCAGGGGAAGATAAGGACTTGTGCAATAAAGTCGAAATGGTGCAGGGGTAGGTGCTTGACTCCTAGAGGCCTATCAGTCTAACCTGGGAAAGGGATCATTGGCCAGGGGGTGGATCCCAATGCAAACCTACAAAAGTATGGGAAGCTGATTGGTTATTTTGAAAAAGCTTCTGGTTTTTCCTAAGCCTGAAATACATAATTCCAGGTGAACAAAGAAGCTCTCTCTCAGTGGGGGAATAAAGAGAAACATCTGTAACAAAAATAAATTAATTAATTTAAAAAAAAAAAAAGAAGCTCGCGCGCGCTCTCGCGCTCTCTCTCTCTCTCTCTCTCTCTCTCTCTCTCTCTCTCTCTCTCTCACTAGGTGACCCGCACTCACCCTATTTGTTCATGTTCTCTCCGGCCCAGGAACACATGACCATGAGGGTCTAGCAGCCACCTGGGGCCCAGGGCAGACTGAGCAGTCTCCAAGGAGCTATGAAGCAGAAACTCTGGGCACTGTCCTTTATTACGGCCCTGCTGAAGACACAGACTCTTAACTTGGGTGGGACAGAGGGAGATGGGAAATTGGAAAGTCAGAAGAACTCTTTTGATAGCACATCACAAATAAACCATGCCACATCACAATCTCCCATGTGTGGATCCTTGAAATGCTTTTCTCGTAATCCCACGAAAGAGCCCGTCTCCACTGACAACATATCGACACAGTCCAACAAGGGCACAAAACCTGCCATCACACCAACAGTATCAATTTAAAGCCTTTATTCCCTTCACTCAAGCCAGTAAAACAGGGTCCTTATGACTTTTCTTAAATCTGGCTCTAAATCCTAGCTCTAGAAATCACACATCTCTTGCTCTCTCTCCACACTCCTCAGAGACCTAGCCTTCCCTGCCCCCTCCACAATCAGCAACCTTGATGAAGCAGCAGACAACAGCCAGGACCAGACTAACTATCAAATGATCTGGACCTCTGGTAGGCTAAAGATAACATCTAAACCTAAGTTATGTTTCAGCTCCTGAGCCCTAAGGTGGAACAACTCCCTGGCTACTTTCCCATGACACTTGACAGAGGGAAACCAGAACAGACTTCAGAGCTGTCCTCAAGACCTGAAGAAATTACTTATTACCCTTACCTCACCTCCGATCAACCGGCTAACACCCCAAACCTCTCACCCACAGTGTCTTGTGATTTTGCCCTATCTAATCTGTAACCTACACACCATTGAAGAGTTTGGGATCTTGTGTATTAGCTTCCAGTCGTCCTGGGTGGCACCATTCATAATAAAAGAGCCAATCTGTCTCCCTGCAGTTGTTGGTGTTTAGCGTTTGGCTCTGCGAACGTGGGGTGGATGGACTCTTTCTGTTCTATCACACCAGGAAAAAGCTCGTCCACAGGCAGCTCACATCTGGGCCATTGCCCAACCCTCACCAGACCTCTGGGTAACAAGGCACAAACCTTAAGGTACATAAAGGTTACTCTACTCCTACCCTTTACTAAAATAAAGGCCAAAATTAAACTTCAAAGTTCTGCGAATTTTAGGGAAGATGGTAGAGTAACACGATAAAGTCTCTATACTCCTGTGGACAAAAATGGGCCACATGTTAACCTGACAAACTCAGGGGAGGCCACTGCGGTGGCTCTGCAAACTCAAAGACCTAAAGTAACCACAAAGGATGGTCCAAAATTAAAACTTTTTAACTAAAAGCAGTTTATGGCAGGTAGTCATGTCCTAGGCCCACATCTTCCCCGACAAACGTCAATCTTTACCTTAACTGAGCCTGTCTAGTGTCTCTTTGCTGTCATAACATATCTTTGGAATATCGAAGTACTCTTCCTTTCTCAGGAACCCTCCAAGCACAGACACCACTCTGTGGACACCACAAATCCCCTGACTGTTATTCACTGTTGACTGCTAACTATCTTGTCCCAGCTATGTAAAAGATGTGTGTGTCTATCATTTTACTTTTTATCCAGTCCCAGAGGTTTCCCCATCTTTGCATTCTTCCACCTCCTTAATCACCAATGGATTTCATGTAACTCACTTATGTCTTCTCTTTTAATTGTAATGCATAAAATAAGGTCAAAACTACGATTCTCTGGGAGCATTTTTTTCAATCCATTGAGATTTTGCTTCCAGGAAATTGTCGACAGTTTTGACTCAAACAAACTCACAAAAATTCTTCACAGGTTTCAATGTTTCTTACATCGATGCTCTAAAAACATTCTGAGACAAAGTTTTATTATAATCTAGATCTGGAGTATTAACACGATAAGCTTATTTTTTTTTAAATATCAAAATGAATTAAAATTTTTAAATGCAACAGAATAAAGCAATAACTACCAGAAAAAATATATGCAATTACCAAAAGTGAATAAAAGAAATCACAAAACACATAAACATACCCCACAGACTAAAGTTTACCAGAAACAAAAGACTCGGTTTGTTAGTTTTAAAAATTCCTCAGAATAACCCTGGCCAGTTTGGCTCAGCAGTTAGAGCATTGGCCCATAGACCAGAGAGTCCTGGTTTCGGTTCCCGCTAAGGGAACGTACCTCAGGTGCAGTCTGCCCTGGTCCCAGTTGGGGTTGTGTGGGTGGCAACAAGTCAATGTGTCTCTCTCACATGGATGCTTCTCTCTCTCTTCCTCCCTTTCTCCTTCCCGCTCTATCTGAAATGCAAAAAAAAATGTCCTCAGGTGAAAATTTAAAAAACACAAAAATCCCCTAAAATGAATTGGAGCATGGCTAGAGATAATAAAAAGTAAAATCAGAGATTCCAAAATTGCAGTAGAGGGAGTGGAAGCTACACAGACCATCTCCCAGGACCAAACTGGAATTACAACTCAATAAAGGTAAATCATCGGGAAAAAGCAACAGAAAAGCAGCGTGGAGGATCATATAACCAAGGACACTGAATGGATCCTGGT